AAAGCATCAGCATTATTAGGAAAAAAAGTTGGAATGGCTGACTATGCAACTCCAAGTCCTCATGCTACAACTTGGGGAACAGGTGGTACTTGTGTAAATGTTGGTTGTGTACCTACTAAATTAATGCCATTTTCAGCAAGAATGGGTGAAATACGGAAAGATTAAATAGCAGCAGGATATTAGGGTATAGAAAGTGAAGGAAAACATAATTGGAAATAATTGATTGAAACAGTATAAAAACATATTAAAGAATTAAATGTGCGTTAGGAAAGCTCTTTAAAAGATCATGGTATAGATTATTATAATAAATTTGCTAAATTTATTGATCGACATACAATTGAAGTAAGATTAAGATTTTGATAATATATTATTATAGCTTACAGATATTAAAGGAGAGAAAGAAATAATAAGTGCAAAGAACATAATTGTATGTGTTGGATCTAGACCAATTCTATATTAAGATCCAAAATTAGTGATAACATCAGAGGATGTATTTTAATAAACAACTCCTCCAGGAAAAACATTGGTTATAGGAGCTTCATATGTAGGTTTGGAATGTGCAGGATTTATTCATGGTTTTGGATATGATACAACTGTATTAGTTAGAACAAGAGTAATGAGGAATTTTGATTAAGAGATGGCTTACAAAGTTGAAGGATATATGACAGATAATGGAATAAAATTTGTTAAAAGAGCTTTATTATAATCAATTACAGGAGTAGATAATGGGAAAAGAAGATTAGTAAAATGGGTACGTGATGGAGTAGTAGAAGAGGATATTTATGATACTGTATTATATGGTATTGGAAGATAAGCATCAACTAAATAATTGAACTTAGAATCAATTGGTGTTAAGATTGATGCTAGAAATTATAAAATTATAGCTGATGATTATGATAGAACTACAGTAGATAATATTTATGCAATTGGTGATTGTTGTTTGAATAGATTAGAGTATACACCTATAGCTGTTATGGCTGGTAGGAAATTAGCTAAGAGACTTTATGGAGATAGTAATGAGATTATGGATTATGCTGATGTGGCTACTACTATTTATACACCTATTGAATATGGATGTATTGGTTTATCAGAAGAAAGAGCAAAATAAAAATATGGAGAGGATGGAATTAAAATTTATAGATCTCATTTTAAACCTTTATAATGGGGTTTCAGAAAAAGAGATGATGCTAAATATTGTGGAGGCAAATTGATAGTTCATAAAGAATCAGATAGAATCATAGGATTTCATTATGTTGGACCTGAGGCTGCTGAGGTAACATAAGGATTTGCTGTAGCTATGAAAATGAAATGTACTAAAAGAGATTTTGATAACACTGTTCCTATTCATCCTAGTTTAGCAGAAGTATTATAAATAATTATAAATATAGGAAATGATTTTAATGAAATGAAAATTTTAAATAAGTTTAATTTCTATCTTAAATAACATTTATTATATCAATTAACGTATTTTGGTGTTCTTGGTCTAGCTGATGGAGCATTTTTTTTGTCTTATGATTTTAAAATTTGAAATGAACACATTAAAGTTTCATCCACACTCATTAATGCTCCTATTAAATAATTAAATAAATTCTTTACCTGAATTATCAAATTCTCCACAATAATTTGGAGCTGAAAATAATGTTACTAATTGTCTTTTTGCAAAAAATTCATATCCTTCTTCTACAACTTAATGAGCTCTACAAACCAAATCCATATCATTCTTTTTCAAAAAATTAGCTATTACATCAGTTCCAAATATATATGAAACTCCTCTCTCATTATCTTTATATTATTTTAATATAAAAATTACCTTACCAACCTTGAATATCCTTTTCTGGATCTGACCATAATAAATCACACAATAACCCTGTATCTGGTACTTCTATAGGTCTCATTATTCTATGAATCTACTCCAAATGTGTTAATTCTGGTGAAAGTCCTCCATGCATACAGATTATTTTCTCATCTATTACTGCACATACTGGTAAACAATTAAAACAATCAGTAAAAGTTTTCCACAATTTAATATTATACCTTCTTTTACATTCATCATAAAATCCATATATACGGTTGATTTATGAGCATTCATGATTACCTCTTAATAAAAAGAAATTCTCAGGGTATTTTATTTTATATGCCAATAATAAACATATTGTTTCTAATGACTGTCTTCCTCTATCTACATAATCTCCTAAAAATAAATAATTTGCTTCAGGTGGAAACCCTCCATATTCAAAAAGTCTCAATAAATCTGTATATTATCCATGTATATCACCTACATATATTAAACATTTTACCACATATTTTTATTGGAGCTTCCAATTCTAGTAACATTGGTTGACTTAAAAATATCTCTCTACTCTTTACACACAAAGAACGTATTTCATTTTCTGTTAGATTTACAGCTTTCCCTTATTTAGCACCTTTACTTTCTAAAAGTTTTTCAATTATCTTCATACATTTAAATTACTTACTTTATCAACATCGATATCCATTATTATTATTAATATAAATAAGAATAATATTCATTTTTTAAGTATTTCTTTTATAATTTATTTATTTTTAAATATGATTCATTTAAATAACTGCCTATTAACAATAATCATCAACTAAATTCACTGATATTTATTATTTTATAAACTATATTATCTTATATAGTGTTAAATGATATTAAATAATAAAGTATTTTTCATTATTATATATTTCTCTTTTTATTAAGTTAATCCTCTTCCATTTGAATTAACTTAGCCACCTTAAAATATTGATATTTTTCTGCCAATTGCCTTGCCGTTCTACTTGCCTATAATTTAATTATTTATATTTTACATAATCAATTGCAAATACATCAACATTATAATTTATAAGCTCTTAACAAATATCATAATAGTTTCGTTTTGCTGCCAAATGCAATCCAGTTTAACCAATCTAATAATATATTTAAAATTTACAAAATCTTTTGTTTTAACTAAAGTTACATCTGAAATTAATATCAATTTTAAAGTTTATAAATCATTATTTTTTATCGCAGCTAAATAATCATTTTCCATTTAATTTAATTATCTTACAACAACATGTTATTTTAAACTATTTAATAATTTATTCTCTAATTATTCATCTGAAAATTTAAGTTAAAGAATTGTTCTAAGATATTATTAATTTATAATATTTACTCCATTAATTTTTTAGCCTCATTATTCATATAATTTATTTCTGGAATTTCATGGTTTAATATTTCTCTGTAAGTATACCGACTTCCATCATCCACATATTGATAAGGAATATTTAAATCTTCATACTGAATGTCCTTTATTTCTGGTTCCTACCCAATTGTATTACTGTAATATTTATTATAAAGATTAACTTATTCTTTAAAATCCTTAAAAGCACTAACACTAATCTTCTCTAAATTTTTTAGATCAGATTGTAACTTTTATTAATTTTCATTAAGCATACTCTTTTTTTTTAATTAAAATTGAGCTTCCCTCATCTTCTTCTCTTATTATTATTTCTTTGTTTCCATCATATTAATTTATTTACTCAAAGGATTAATAATTTTAAGTGACCTTTGATTGTTTTGTATTAATTAATTATTGTTCCTCAGATCCTTAAGGTTTTAATAGAGTTCGAAATCCTATTCAGTTTATTTCTTTTTCCCTGTTCTTTAATCAGAACTAGGCTTCTTCTTAATGAAATAATCATTCTAAATTTTATGAACAAAAGTTTCTGGAGTCACAAATTTATGCATAATAATATAAATTAATATCATAATGCAATATAACCTTTCAAATTTTAACTACAGTAAATAATGTAATATCTAAACCACTAAAATAGAAAAATCAGTCATACATATGATATATGTAAATTAATGAAAATATTTTTACCGATATGTTATCATATTGATTAATTCTTATTGTAATAGATAAATACAATGAAAGATATTTTGTTAAACACTTTAATCATATCTTTTGGAATACTTGCAAGATTTTTCACAAAATAAACTTGTCAAATGTATAAGAAAACAAACATATATTAGTTTCTTTTTGGAAATTTCTTCAAATATAATATTAAGTAATTTATAATTAAGAAATTTAATTTTTCATTTATTATTTATATTATCATTGATGTAAAGATTAACTCAGTAACAAAAATTAATGAAGTAAAAAGCTTTTTAGATGCCTCTTAATCTTAAAACTTAATAACCATAAATGATTATTCAAGGAAATGATTTATAGATTTGGACAATAGAAAAAGTGAAAATTTATTAGCAATGCTAAAGAAGAATAGATTATAAAAAAATAAATGTTAAAGCAAATTTACAACTAAAATATTCTCCAAAATACTTAGTATCGAATAGATGACTAAAAAAAACAAATATTTTTTAGATAGAAAAAAAATTGATTGATTATGAAGATATATTATATATAATAAATTAGAATTGCAAGGTAGATTTTTTTACTGAAATAAAAGGTAATTACGTATGGTATCATTGGATTATGGAATATTGTATGAATCTAATGAAACAACACAAATTATAGGAAAACTGATTAGACGCAGATAATTTAGGCTTTTATTTGTAAAACCGTTTTGATGTTTAAATGCATATCCCAAGTATTCAAAAGCTATTAAGTTTGAGTGGTTGGAAATATTAAGATTATACTTAATTCAAGATCCAAAGTTATATTTATACAATATTTCAGATAAGTCTCCACTATTTAAAAATAAATAATTCATAGAATTAATTTATAGATTAGACTTTACTAAATTTATTAATTCAAATATTTTCTAATATCATTATAATTGAGGATTATTTATTTAATATAGTTAAAGTCTACATGTATTATTTAGATACTTTATCTTAAATAATTTCAATATTTTCATTCTACATTGTTATCAATAAGATTTGATAATTTAAACAAATGATTTTATGATTTATATATAATACTTTGGAATTTATTATAGATATCAATATTAGACTTATAGACAATTTATTAAATTTCAAATCATGGCTTTTTCATTTTTTCTTTAATTTTCTAAAATTATGGAAAATAATTACCTCATCTAATTCTTTTAATTTATTTTATCTTTCTTTCATGAATAGTTATTTTTGCTTTATAACTTCTTCTTAATTCTTTTTACCTTTTACTTCAGGTAAATTTTCATAATTTTTTTTTGTTAATGCAAACATTTCTTTTTCTTCAACCTAAATAAGTTCAACATTACTTTTGCCTTTTATCCCATAGCTAATCGTTCCATCAATGGGCTCTTGGCTCTTTTAATTTATTCTTTTCTATCACTATTTTTGTCTTCATTTATTGGAGTTTGACTTTTATTTTGTTATCGTTTGTTTCTTCCATATTCCATCATTTCTTTTCTTAATTTGATTTATTCTTCTTTACTTCTTTATTTAACATTTACTATCCAACTTTAATCGTCCTCTTATATTGGCACTTAGACTGAAACTCTCCTTTCAACATTAGCTGTTTTCTTTCTTTATGTGAAATAATCTGCTAGACATTTTTTACTTGATTCATTTTATATACCATCTTCAAAATTAAATTCTAATTTTACACTTGGCTGAGATTGTTTTCGTATATCTGGATTATGTGCACTATAACTTTAATCTTATTATGCAGGTGAACTAAGAATTTAAATTTAAGAATATTTTCTTTAAATATCATTTTTATTTTGAAATATATCATCTTTTTATATGTTTTCTGTTTAGAATTGATGAGAATTTGAATTAAATTATTAATAACTTTAATTTTGACTTTAGGAATCATGAGTTTAGATTTGTAATTATTATTATGATTATTATGAAATAAGATTTCTTTAAGATAATTAAGTACCAAATGTTAGAGATTCTATATTTTATTACTAAAGAGGTCTGATTAATGATTATTACTATATAATTAATTTTGATTGATTACAAAAAGATTCATTTTAATAGGATTCATTTATATTGATTATAGATTAATCTAAAATTGATTTATCAGTCTAAATGGCTTATGATTATTGTTTTTTACGCTATATTTAGTTTGGTGGAGATTCTTATTCAGTTTAAATATTCATAGGTGAAATAGATTTTGATTATTATTACTATTTTTCAGATGATGTTATATTATTATTAATAACAATGGGTTATTATTATTATTATTATGACTAAAATTGTTAAAGTAATTATTATTAAAAAAGTAATCTTTAACTTTCCTGTTTTTCTAATTGTTATTTTAAAATCATATTTTCATTTTACAATTATAACATTTGTTATTAAATCAAAAGTAATCCCATATTATCAGTTTAATCTAAATAAGGTTTACTATTTCTCTACATTTCATACCTGTTTGTTCTTTATGTAGTGCAATTTGATGGTTAATTAGATCTATGACATTATAGTAATATTGGTTATTTTAATTAGTCAAAAAAACTATTATTTGAATTGTTTGATTATTATTCAATTCTTGAAATATCAATAAAAATAGATTGAGTATCTTTAATTTAAGAATTTTAAGTCATAACACTAAGAGGAGGTTGATCTACTCTTTTTTTCATCTATTTTATAAATTCATTTGTATTTCTTTGAGGTGGAAAATTTTCAATATTTGGTTTTTTTGATGATGGTATTTATTAAGGTGATCGATATTAGTTTGGATTATCATTATTCATTCTATATTCAAAATCAAATTATTAAAAAATTTAGGAGTTAAATAAATAAATTTCAATTATCATACACTCATTCAATTTTATCATTTTTATCTTCTTTATCACTATCCTCCTATTCCTCTAACCATTAACCAAATTCATCTAGTCTTTATTCCTCAACTTCTTTACTCTCAATACTTGATTTGAAATTTTCTTTACCATCCCAATATTAAATATGTATTTTTCTTTAATTTAATTCTATTCCATTTAAATTAGTTAAACAGACTTCAGCATCATATGCAGAATGAAATTTAACCTTAGCCACACCTCAATTTAATTATAAATAATACCTTATGGATGTTCTTTAAAGAACTCTAATTTTTACACATATATTTATAGTGCTTCTATTTTCAATAATAATTCACCATATAATTAATTCATAAATTCTGGATTTTATGCTTATGTAGGACTATATAAATTTTTAAATATTAATATCTTTAACCCTTTTCCATCATCTTCTTATCCTTCTTCTGCCATTTAAGTCATTTCTTTTTATCTGGCTAATGCCTTTTAAAGTTTATCTATTTTCTTATTTTCTCTTTTACGATATTATCCCTTTTATTCAAATACTGCTTCTGTTACTTTAACAATAACATCTGGTCTAATATGAAGTCCATCTAACATTTCTTTTGCTGTTTACACACTTTCAACCATTTTATATGATATTAATCCATCACCTTTACAATTTCCATTTTAATCTCTATATATTTTAATTGTAGGTTATAGAGTTTCTGGATTGATTCTAATAATTCCTGCTTTACTAAAAAACACCTTCATCTCTTCCATAGTTATATCTTATGGTAAACCTTCAACATATACATTTGTATTTATTTTTGGAGTGTACCATTAATTCTTTTTTTTTTCTTTTTCTTTTTATGATTTCTTCCTATTCTTTTCTATTTTCTTCTTTAAAATTTCCATTCTCTATTCATCATTCAATTATTCAAATGATTCATCATCTTCTAATTATTCAACTGCCTCTTCTTTTTCTTTTTCTTTTTCATCCTATTATTATATTTTTTATTGTTATTAATCCTCTGTTTTTATTTCTTTACCACATGTAATTTAAACCATCTCATGTTCTTATTCATCTAAAAAGAATTTTAATTCTTCAACCTAAAAAATTGGTTTCCATTCAGTGAATCCTTCCTTAAATACATAAGTATCTATATGTTTAGATCATAATTTACATGAAGTTATAATACTAGTTCTTAACATAACATCAATATCCCTTATTGATATAGGTCCTTTAGTTTATTTCTCTGGCTCTTATTCACTTGTATCAACATAATACCATATTAATTGATCTTCCATTTTAATAAAAAAATTAAATAAATAATTAGAAAATAAAATTATCAAAAATAAAAATAGGATTCTTTAATAATGATTATAATAGTTTATAAATTTTATCTAATATTTATATTCATACCTTAATTTTGATAAATATTTCAATTTAAATAAATAAATACAAATCATATCTTAATAAATAACTTTAATAGATTACTTCATAAATTAAATATATATATTATTTTAATTAAGTATAAAATCAATCAAAATATCATACAATTAATTTTATCTGAACAACATTTTTGTTCAATTTATTGTTCATTTTCAAGAATTATTTAGAATTAACTTTATTTTTTATTCTCTTCTAATTATTAAAGACCAACAGATTCTGTTTAATATAAATTTAAATCATTTTTCTTCTAATTATCAAATTCAGATTCTCCTTAATTATTAAGTACTTCAATTTCCTCCTAAATTAACTAATTTCCATTTTCCTCATGAACTAAAATTTTAAGATGACTACTAGAAGTTGCAGATTCTATTGATTTTTTCATACTAGTTGTCTTTGAATGTTAATGTGATAATCTTCCTAATGATGAAAACTTTCTTAAATTTCTTCCTTTAAAATCTTATAGCTTTCTTAATCCATATTAATAATCTTCATAACAATCATATGTAACATGTTTTAATAATTCAGAGACTTATGGTAACTAAGGAGGCCTAGATTCATTTATAAATGCTATACCAATATATCTTTACATTTGAACATTCTCCATTATATTTTTCTTCTAATTATTCTTTCAAAATATATTATTATAAATCATCAAGATTATTAAGCAATTTAATTTTAGAATGTATTTATGTTTTGTTTGGGATGTAATTAAGTATTTATTAAAAATTTAATTTAGAATTTACTATTAGAAGATTATTTAAATTTCCACAAAAATTAATCATTAACTCTTTAATATTCTCAAAATTGAACTTTAATTATTAATATAATTACATCAATTTCATAAAAATTGTATTCTTGATTTTGACAATCATAAATAATAGTCCAATTTTCAACGAAGTAAGGAATCAATACCTATCGTTTCACTGTTTCCAGTAAATATTAAAAGGTTAGAAAGTTCTCATTATCAAGATGTTTTATTATTATGACTGGCCTTGATTATTTATCTATTCCAAAAATATAAAAATCTCCACTTTTTAATTAGTTAATGTTTGGTTCCATGTTTTAATATAAATTAAGCCAACCTAGATGAATTTATAAATTCTCTAAATATATATTTTGATGTACTTATAATGCTCCTTAAATAGAAAAATCAGCTGATATAAGCATTTTCAAATAGTCACTTGTCTTCCATGAATTTGGTAATGGTACTTATATCTTTGTTTTAAAATTATCAATTGATTTCATTTCATATTCTTCATAATCAACCTTTTCATAAATGTTTCTAACTATCATTCCTTCTGTTCCAGATTTAATATAGAATTCTAGATTTTAAATCTTATTACATTACTTGAGTGTTTATTTAGGAATTACTAACTTTTGGGTCTCAAATAACTTATATCTAGATACATGTATATAATTAATATATAAAGTTTATTTTAATTTTTTAAATAATTCACTTAATCTAATGATGTTTATTATATGATGCTGTTAAATACAATCAAATATGATTCAAAATGTTATAGCCAACAAACCAATTATATACTAATTAATAATAATGCTAGTCCTTGAATTTTCAACTAAAGTCATCATTTACGAATATTTACAAAAGTTTGAAAATTTAAGAAATTCAATTAGTTATTAAAATTTGAAGAATTATTTGATAATAAAGAATACTTTATAAGAATTTAAATTAAAATTATTAATATATTGTATCTAAATAATCCAAAATAGTATATAATATAATTTATAATATTTATAAAGTATTTTCATACATCAAATAGACATTTTATATCCCATATTAATTTAAATTATATTTTATTTAAATATAGAACTATTAAATTAGAAAAAGAATTCCCAATGACCTTATTTATCCACATCTAATGATTTAAATATTTTATATACTAAATAATGTATATTCTTATACTTTTTCTTTATTTTCATTCCAGATGACAACATTTGTAAGACTACCATAAAGAAAACAGATAGCAGATACCAATAGACTTCATCTGATTCTCAAACGGCAACAATTGTTCCTACTGTAAAGTTGGTTCCAATGATAGAACTTTTATTCAGGGGATCAAAGGCAACTATTTATTTTCCACCTTCATATAAAAGCTTTATCTAAAGATTATCTAAAAGATCATTATACTTCCTTTGTTTCTTCACTTGAGGTATGACAGTTTTCTTTAATTGTGTATTAATATTTAATTCACATTGAATATCTATTTCTAAATAAGGATCTCCAAAATCATTTTGAGGGTTTGCATAATCTCCTCCTCCTGAGCAAAATCTCAAAATACAAGAATTTTCTATGAAAGCAAGAAGAATAGCTGATCAAACAGCACATAATTCTGAGTCGTCATTTAACTTAATACGTTGTGAGTGCATTTGATGGATAATTAATAAATTGGATCATAAATACAAGAATTTGATTATTTTATACCTACTTTAATATGCTTTATATAATAAATTAATACTAAATTACACATTTTTCATTTAATTAATCATCATTATAATATGTCCTTTTTATAAATTAAAAAATTTATTTTATTTAAAATAACGCATAATGGATTAAGACATGTATTTCATAATCTAAGTAAATTAGAGGTATAAATTTCTAAAATAAATATTTAAATTACTAAAAGTAATATGATAATGAAATTTGAATATTATCTTTAGTTTATAATTATTCATTTTTATAATTACAATAATTTTGATTGAGATATAAAATTTTTTTAATTTTTAGAAAACAAAACATCTAATTCTGCATATAATCTTAATAAAATTTTTCATTATTTTAAATATAAAATGATATAAACTATAAAATAATGTAATAGTTATTATAAATTTATTAAATGAATTCATTTGAATAGTGTTTCACATTTAGAATTAAATTCAAGGAAGTTTCTAACTATTTATGCACATACTTCATCTACTTTATGCATAACAACTATAACTAATTCAGGTATTATGCGATCATACTCTTATAATTATTCAAGTACTATTATATAAAGTATTTAAATTATTTACAATGTTATAATTCTTAGATTTTTAAAATTGGTGGATCTAATTTATCTTAATCAGTATAATTAGTATGAATTTCATCAATTAAATGTAATACTTTTTTTTCTAAACATTTTCTTTCTGCCATCACTGTCTCATTGACTCTATTTCGATAAGAACGCAATGCAAAGCTATTTAAATATTCTCTTGCTTTTTCCAATTAATCCATTTTATATTCATCAAACCATTTTGGTAATTTTCCTTATCCTTTATAAAATTTTTCAATGCTAAGTAATTTGAATTTTTCTTTTTCACTAAGCATGCTTCCAAAATCATAAGCATTTTTAAAATTCTCTATGCTTTTTGTATTTTTAGTTATTGTCTCCTTAATCTTTTTAAGGTGCTTATCTAATTTCTTATGGGTATTTTGGAAGAATTCTTCATTAACTTCATAGAATCCATAATTTTCTCTTTATAATTCAACTAAATTATCATAAGTACTTAATGATAGTGAATATAATACTCTCTTGCCATTTTATCTTGCTATGTATCTAAAAGGTTGTTAACTTCTTCAAATAAATTCATAACAGAAAATGTTAATAATAATAAATAAATATAATCAAGAACTATACTATTTTATAATCTACATCTTTTATTTTCCACAAAATCTACCCAAACACCCTTTTAAACATGAAATCTCATTAAATTAAATGTCATTCTTTTTTCCATTTAATAAACTTAATTTGCTAATTATAAATGGAACACTTTAAAAAGTATGATCACCATAAGCATATGGAGTTTTATGATCTCCAGTAATTGCTATGACAGCATCTTATAATTTGATATTATTCACAAAATAACTAAGCATTTCATCCACTTTCTAAATATACTTGATTTTGAGATCTTTATTTTTATCATGCCCTTCATTATGAAGAGCTAATTTAAGATAAATTAATAATGAGATAATATATAGAGAAGTTATTGAATAATTAAAAAGAGAAGTTGTTAATTATAAATTAAGTTCAAGTTCTGATGTGACCATTCTTAGAAAAGAACTTTAAATTATATAATAATAATTGGAATGTAATTAAAAAGAAGTGAAAGTGAATTTAAAAGTAGAACAGAAATAGATAAGTTAGTGATTGAATTGGATTAATGGAAACGTAAAATATTTAAAACTTGAATAAAAAGATAAAGATAATGCTGAATAATTAAAACAGCTAGTATATTATTAAAATAAATTGAAATTATTTGAATTAGAAGCAAAAATATAAATTTGATAAAGATGGTAGATAAATATGATGCTAGAGAAAACTATAGTCATGACTGATGAACCTAAAATCAAAGAATTAAATGAAATTTTATAACAAAAAAACTAAAAATTACTTGAATTAGAAATGAATTAAAATTCTTTTAATTCTAATACTGTTTTAGTAATAAAAGAATTAGTAAGGATAAAAAAATAAGAGAACTAGAAACTTAAATTGAAACTCTTTAATTAAAAGTTGAAAGATATTAAAATATTAAAAAAGACCAAGAAACCAGAATAAAAATAATGATTTAAAAAGGTATAACAACATTTTTTATTTAGGTTACTGAATATGAATCTCAAATTAATATTCTATAAGAAGTCAAATTAAGATAATCTAAAAGATCTCCTACATAATAATAATAATAATAATAAATTACTACTTCAACTACTAATATACAATAATAATAACCATGTGTTTAAACTACAAGTTATGTTTAATAGAGTATACACTTAAATATAAAAATGTAATCTAAATTTAATTCTTATCTCAATAGATTTTAATAAAAACTTATATACTTGATTTTTGAGATATATATATATAATTAAATAATTATACAACTTCCAAAATTTATTAATCATCTTCATAAAATCTACCATCACCTACTCTCATTTCTTAGAATTATTAATTCTAACCTATTTACAATAGTTCAACGACAACAAAAAAGTAAGTGATTATTTCTAATGATGTTGAAAAGTGATATAAATATCTAATCTAGAAATTTGTATCCAAAAGAAGATAATATATCTTTATAAATTGTTTATAGAATTGGATCTAGAGATTATACAAATTATTAAGCTCCTTAAATAATTGTATCATAATACAAACCAATTAATTGAATAAATAATAATATGGTTATAATTTGTGTCAACAACATCCATTATCTTTGACTGTATTCTATTATTAATCTGGAGTTATTCGTGGTCCTGTTCCTGTTTTTATTGGCATAGCCTCACTACTTTTTGCAACCTTTGCTTTTATTTCATTAGCTAAAGTTATAAAAGCTTTCTCAACATTAGATGAATTCTTTGCAGAAGTTTCTGTCATTATTTTACATAGCTACCTATAAAACGTATATTCAATGAATCAGCAAGTTCCTTTCCTTCTTCTTATGTAACTTCTCTTTTACTTTCCAAATCAACTTTATTGCCTACCAATACTCTTACTACATTTTCATTTGCATACTTTTCTACCTCTATTTGATGTATTTAATATAATTACCAGCTAACCAATTTTCTACATCTTTAAATGATTACTTATCAGTCACATCATAAACTAATATTATTCCATGAGCTCCTTTATAATATGAATTTGTTATTGTTTTAAATCTTTCTTATCCTGCAGTGTCCCAAATCTAAATTGTAATTTAAAACTACCTACAATTTTACTGTTTTTCCATTCAAATCAAAAGTACGGATTTTGAAATCTACGCCTATTGTAGGCAAGAAACTTTCATTAAATACATTATCAGCAAATCGAAGTAACAATGACGATTTACCTACTGCTGAATTTCCAATTAAAAGTATCTTGAAAAGGTAATCATATTCCTATTACATACTCATTTTTATATTTAAATATTATTAATACAGAATAGAACAGATTCTATATAAATATGTTTATAATCAATTCGAATTGATAAATTTATTTAAGTATAATTCTATTAATCAAAGAACTCTAATTGAAAATGAAATATTATTTTTTTATTTAGATGAACATCTAATTTTTTTATCATGATCATCTAAAAATTTCACTTCATCATATCAATTTTATATCCTTAAAAAATTGTTTCAAAATTTATCAAGTTTTGATTAATATTTTAGATAGTTTAATTCTATTTCTTAATATACATTGCCTTACTTATAATTTATAATTTTATGAAATAATTATTACAACTTTAATATTTTAGATTAAATAAATGAAACTTATTTAATTAATAATCAAGCTTTCCTCATTAAAAATTGAGCTTATAATAAAATTTAAAAGAATTACTAAAATAAAATAATAGAATTAATCAAACATTAATAAAATGCTAAATTGCTTTAATTTGAAGCATGTTTTAAATTAATGAAAAATAATTTTATTTTATTTAAATTCATTACTATTTTTAAGGATTTAAGCTATCTGCTCTTTAAACTCTACTAAACTAACTTTTTTTCATTTATTCATCTTTTTATGTTTTTAAAGTAAAACTTGATTATTTCTTGATTTTTCCTAATTTTTATTAATCCTAATTCTGTTGTTAAGGTTCTTCCGTTTCAACATCTTTAATTTTGACTTCTTTAACACTGTTTTCAAATGCCAATCCCTTTTCTGGATCAAAACGTGGAGATAATGAGATGTAAGAATTAATTTTATTATTTTTATCAGAATTTGATGTTTGAGATGATAGAGATGATTATCTACTTAGATTTGTTGATCTATTCATTCCGATTGCCTACTTTTTCATAATTTAAAATAACTAATGCTAATTACGACTAATTAATTTTCGATTAAAAACAATTAATTCATAAAGCTTTTAAGCATTGAAAATACTGTATGAAATCATTATATGCAGAACTTAAAAATAATTTTTTTTAAAATAAAAAATTTGATTGAAAAAATGTTGGATTAAAACTATAATTAATTAATTAAATAAAACAAGTTTGAAAGTGATATATTTAAAATTAATCTTTATAATTATTCTTTAATTTAAAAATGGCATTTTCACAGAAACTTATAATTAATAATTATATTTAATTAGAAAGATAATTTATTTTTAAAAATAATCAAAAAAGATTATGTAATAGGTGATATTTTAATATAAAAGAAAATCTTTTAAATACCAGACTGAAAGTGTTTTCATTTCAACTGTTTTTATAATATAATTGTATTCACTTTAATCTTAACTTTAAAAATAATACTAAAAATTTTCTAAAAATAAAGATACAATTAGATAATTTAATATAATAAAGACATTTTTTTATATAGATGCTATTATTTAATCTATTTATCAGGTAACTTCTATGAATATTCAATTTTTTAATACAATTATTATATATATATTGTAATTAAAAGTGGTGTGCTTTTGAAATGTAAGAGAATATAATTATTCTTTTATTAAGTTTATGATTAATTATAAATAAAGATTATCATTCACTACCATCATTTTTATTTTAGAAATGAACATTAAATTTAAATTAAAGTCATGAGTGAATGATAGTGTTTATTACCAAAAATGAAATTTATCCATAATTTAAATAATTTAAAAAGTTGGATCAAATATTTTATATAAAGAAATATTGCTTTATGTGTTTTATAGATTATTTGAATATAAATATTTGCTTTAGAATAGTCAATCTTCATTATTTAAAATGTTCTATTATTTAAAATAAGTTAAGATGATTATTTAAGTACTTTATTTTTATAATCATATAAATAATTGGTCTTCAACTTATTATAGTAATCCTTTTAGAATTTGATAATATTTTTATGAACTATAAGTTGGCAGACTTCATTAGCAATTACCTTAATGAATAGAAACTATTAACTGATAAATACACAAGACTATTCAATCAAATCAAATTAGGAGATAGTAGTTTGAATAGAACCAGTAGTTCACTTTTAAATTTGAAAAAGCGATCTCAAAATTAAGATTTCTTGTATAATTCAAACAAAGAAAAGACTAATTGTTAATATTGTGGTAAATAGTATACAAGTAAATTGCCTTTGAGGAATCATATTAAGAAATTTCATCTTTAAGATAATTATACATCCAGAAATGAACTATCAACTAAATAAAGTACACCATATGATGATGATTATGATTAAAGGAAGTAAGATTATTCAAGGAGAGATGACAGTTCTAATGAAGCAGATGAAGAATTGAGATAAAAATTGCTTAGGAATGTATAAGCTATTGAGAAAAGGGAGAATGGAAGTGAATCGAAAGGTGAGAAATAAGATCAAGAATTTATTATAAGTGGATTAAATTCAGATTCAAGTTCAGATGATGAATGATTAATTGATATGAATTTTACAAACTTAAAATTTACATAAATTGTTTTTATCATTATATAATTATATATATTAATATATTCATAAAAAGTATAACTTATGGATCAAGCAAATAAGTTATAATACTAATAACAAGTAGAAAAATACCTAGAAGGAAATAAAGTATATAATATCTTTGAAGATTTACTCAAAGCCTTAATTATTAAAAAACCTGATGATCCAATTCAATTTTTAATCAATAAATTATAAGAACCTGAAAGTATTATACAATATCTATTAAAGCAAAAAAAATATTCATAATTGGACCTCCTGGATCCAAATTACTTGAACTTTCCCTTACACTTGCTGAATATATGAATTTCCATTGTGTTTCTATTGGTGATTTGATTGAAAAAGAGTTAAGCAAAAAATCAGAATTAGTATTAATATTATATATATACATGTAGAGTTAATAAATTTAAGATTCTTTAGATAAATTTTAATATGTAAGTGATGATATTGTTATCAATATTGCATTAAATTAAATTTAGCATTTAGAAAATGAAAAAAAAAGCTATATTTTTGAAGGATTCCCAAAAACTAGAGTATAAGGTTTAGCATTTTAAAAAGAAGGAATCATTCCAGATGCATTTCTTATACTAGAAATGTCTGAAGAGAAAATATATTAATGTTGTCTCAAAAAATTAGATACAGAACCATTTAGTAAATTAGACAAAAAAGAAGAATTAGCAAGAAATCATTCATTAGAATATTAATTGAATCTTAAATAAATTAAGGAAATTTATAAGAATCAATATTTTTCTGTTGATGGAGAAAAAAACTATGAATTAGAAGATATGGCTGTATAATATTATATATAACCTTATTTTAGTAACGACTTAAATATAAGTTATACAACAATGCACCTACCAGAGCAGGAAGAATACTTGTTATTGGTCCTCCAGGATCAGGTAGATCTACATTAGCTAAACATTTATGTTCAAGATATGGATTTGTCTACATCTCTACAAGAGAATTAATTTCAAATTTGGTTAATAAAAAAGGTACTACTGGCAAAGAAGCATTTGAAAAAGTTAATAAAGGGGATCTAGTAGAGGATAGAATTATTAATGCTCTTATTAAAGAAAGAATCAATTAGACTGATTGTCAATTATAGGGTTATGTACTTGATGGATATCCTAAAACTGAATAATAATTAGAATCATTAAATGAACTCAACATCTAACCCACTTTAATTGTTATTATTGATGCTGCTGATGATATTATTTTAAAAAGATTAATTTAACGTAGAACTGATCCTATATCTGGAAGAATCTACAATTCTATTGATGAAGCAGACAAAGAAGTGAAATCAAGATTGATAATAGCTCCAAATGAAAAAAGAGATGTTGTATAATTAAGGTATTATGTTATTTATTTTCATTTAGATTGAAAAGATGGGAAGATTTAAAATAATTAATTGATGGAACACCAAAATATGCTTCAGTCATTTTTAAAGTTTCAGGAGATGCTTCATTAAATAACATTATTGAATCAGTATGTTATCATTTAGAAAAAATGAATTGATATATTTTTGTTAGATTATTTTATCATAATAATATTTTGTATTTAAGAAATAAGTTTTGTTATTGTTTTTAATTTTAAATTAAATTTATTATTATCATTATATATACCTTAATTTTTATTTATGTCCTTTTTACTCTAAAAATAGATTAATTAAATGTTATTACAAGTCATTGCTTTTTATTTAACATTCTGTAAAGATACCTTTATTTTAAATATAATTAAAATGAACCCGATTAATATCTAGATAGCAGTTATTCCATTAGATAAAAACATTAAGAAAAAGAAATACAATTCTAAAAACAAAGACATACCTCGAAATTCAATAGTACATACCAAAGAGTTTGTGACCTCATTTATTTTTCCAAAAAATATTAATTAGAGTCAATATTTCAGAACTAAAGAAAATATACAATTTGCCCTTACTACATTCAATGAAAACACTCTAGGAGAATTAGGTATCAACATATTCAGTATTGGATACTCTGTTTCTTAAACTGAAGTAAGGCAAGAGAAGATGGAATATCATTTTTAAGCGAGAGACTTTGAATTAGTTGATATATCTACAATATTTCATATGTTAAGATTAATGAAAATGGATAAGGCATGTACAAATTTGAGTAAATACCTATAAAGATATGAGTAAATAGCATCAATTCCTTGTTCTACATAATTTGAAATAAATTAAGTGGAGGAACTTGCTTCCAAATATCCTTATGAATGCTATACATATCGACATGAAAGACAAGAGTCTGTTATACTAAAATACACTCATAATATAAAGTTTCTACATTTGATGGGCATTACAATTGATATGATAGAAATTTATTTAAGAGAAACAAAAACACTTCCTTGTGCTATTAGAGTCAACAATTATTTACAAATTTGGAATCAGGTATTTGAAGCAGTTTCTAATGATCAATAAATATTTGAAATGGAAGTGTAAAATTTTAATGGAAATATATTCTATGTTAAAATTAATTAAGTTCAAATTTTTATAGAATAGGAAGGAAAACTGTATGGGTATTTATATTGGATATACTTAACTGATACAAACTAAAATTTAGCAATCTAAAACTATGAGAAATAATTAGAGTAACTTTATCCAAAGCCAAAGGAATGCCTTTACAAATAAATAAAATGATATTATATTAAAGTTAATTTAAAGTTTATATAAAAATTCAATTTATTATAAAATAAACTTAACAACTAATTTTTATAATAATTGTTTAGCTCATACACTTTTTAAGATTTTTATTTAACTTCAATTAATCTCTCTAAACATATATAATCCTTAAATTTTATAATAAATTCTAAATTTTATAGGTAAAACCTGAGAAAAAATAATTAATTTATCCATCTAATTAATTAAATCATCATTACATTTGAAAATCTATATTCATTTCCAGAGAATTCTGTGATCTAAATAATAAAACATATTATTTAATTCTTCCAATTATAGCAATATATTTATTCTTATTTTTTTGAATTTTTAGCAATAGTAAAAATTATTAAAGGTCTTTACATTATTTGATGTTTCTTTTAAATAAATATATTTTATAAATCTGCCATTTTTTGTCAATTTATTTCATATTAACATATTTTAATTAAGAAAAATGTTTAACTAAGAAAAAAAGGAAAATTTAGAATTACTCTCTGTTTTAATTAGATAATCGTTTATTAAATTTTTATATAAATTTAAATATAAGTTTCCGTCATCAATAATAAATTTTATAATCAAAATATATATTAATATAAATATAAAGTTTATCAATATAATATTTTTATATTTAATAATATCAATTCTAGAAACATTAAATTATTTTAAAATGACTTTAAATAATTAGTTACAAAATTATAACAACCACATTCATATTCAATATTATCCATCATCTTTTTACTATTTTAAATAATCAAAACTCTAAAACCTAAAAGTCATAAATCATTCATATTAATGTCTTTTATTTACATTAAAATTGATAAATGTTCAAAATTTGAAAAATCTTATTAATAAATAGATTCTATTTATTTAATTTAAAGACCTTTTGCATATATTTATTTGATTTAATAAATGACCGCTTTTTTTTTATTTTCTTTATAAATTGTGGTAAAATTGCTTATTAATGAATAAATAATCAGAAAGTTCTAATATTCTCAAAATAGAGTAAGTTTTAATATTTAATTATGATTTCTTACTCTATATCCGAAAACTCTCAGAAAATGTAAAAATGTATATATAATAATTAAATATAATAATAATCATTATTAATCAAATTATTATTATTTATTAATTAACACTCTTTTCTATTTCGGAAAGTATACTTCAGATTCATCTTAAAGTTCGATTTTGAGACCATCTTCTTCATATTTTTAATTTTAATTAATGTGTTCTGGAGTAATAAACCATTCATCCATTTCATCAATTGTTTGATGAATATTTTATTTTTCAATCATTTTATATACTTCTTCTTGTTGATTTTCCTCCAACTTCTCTTTATAAGTAAAAGGACTTGTTGTTATTTTCTTCAGTTTATCTTCTTATTTAATTTCTGTAGGTATTTAAAGTTGTTCTCCTTCTAATTTAGGTTCAGATGCTCTTTGCTTTAAAGATTCTTCAAATTTCTGAGCCTGTAAAGAATTGAGCATACCTCTATTATGAAGTTCCTTATTTACTAGAAACTTAATATCATGTGCTCTTATAAATTCATCTTACCATGCTTTTGATGCTTTGAATTGAGGATCCTGAAATAATTCTATGGCTTTTTCTTTTAATTAACTCCTTCTCACTCTCCTTTATTATTAAATGGATTATTAAAGAATCCATGATGCCAATTCTTCTTCTGCTTTTTGATTGAGTTTCTTTCTACCACATCCTGGTTTCCGATCAACACCTTCATTGTACCACCTTCGTAAATTTTTAACTGATGTTTGAAATCTCTCAGCGATCATGCTCAATTATTCTGTTGAATAATTATTTTGCAATAGAATCATTGCTGCTTATTTCTCATCCTTAGAAAGTATGCGATATTTTTTTCTAGATATTTATAAATATATATAATATTTATTTCAAATATATTAGAAATGCAAATTCAAGTTTAGAATCAAGAAGACATATATAAAATAATAAATAAATATGTAAAAATAATTATTATTATATGATTATTGATTTTAACAATAACATTTTGTTTTTTTTATATTTTAAATATTAATGTCTAATTTCAAATTACTTATGAAAATGCATCAATCAAAACACATTTTTATATAATAAACTCTAGAAGAATTATTAAGAAGTATCGTGAATTTTTAACAGTATATTATGACTAATAAATCAAATATCAAATTTACTTAAAACAAATATGAGAATATTTATATATCTATATGAGAATCTCTTTAAGATTAAAATTTTAGGATGAAGAAATAAATAAAATAAATCTAAATTGAATTTAATATCTAAATTATATGAATTATTTTAAAGTAATTTTATTTGGTTTTGAAGTTTCTATATGAAAGTATTTTTATTTTTTGAATATTATCTATAAAAATGTGATTGTGTAGATTTATTTAAATTGATACTATTCCTATTTCATTCATTAAAATTAAAGCTTTAAATTATTAATTCATGTTTTAATAAGATAAATTATTATTTTAATCTTTAAAATTTAATAATAACAAGATTTCTAATTTGTATATGTTGAAATATGATTTTGCCATTTGATTAACATGATTAAAAGTTTGTGTTATTATTTAAAAATTTAGAATTTAGACAAAATTTGGATACAATCTTTTTCTATTTGGATGTGTCAGATTGCAAAACCATTATTATATTTTTGAACTTTGATAGAATGAAATTTATAATATTAAATTTGATGTAATTAATTTAATTTATCATTGTATTTTATAATTAGAAGATTAGGTCAATAATGGTGGTGGTGGAGGTAGCAACTGTTCCTCTTTGATCTTAGTTGAATTTAGAAATAAATTTTCATTAATATTTGAATCTAAGAACTCTGAATTACTAAAGGTAGCGTAAGTTTAAATAAAAGGTTATTAAGTCTATTATGGAGCCATTTATTGTGATGAATATTACATAAATATACCAGAAGTGTTCATTTAAACCTGTTGTTAATAGGATTACTAAGTCTATTGACTAAAGTTAATAGTTGGTTGTGGTTATTAATATTATTATTATTATTATTATTATTATTATTATTATTATTATTATT